GGAATCTCAGTGTTGCTTTCATCTGCATCTCTCAAGTGACCAGTGATGAACATTTTTTCATATATTTATTTGCTGCTTTTACTTCTTTGTCTGAGAAAGTCTTGTTCAGGGGTAAAACTAATGGGTTTTTCTCATGGATTCTTTTTACAAATGACAATCATGATTCCCTTAATTGGCTGAAGTTGTGTTAGTCATTTGCTGAACAGAGAGGAAACTAAGGAAAGGACAAAATAAGAAGGAAAATGTTAATTTAGTCTTAAATTAGGCATGTTGAGTTTAAGGTCCCTTTAAAACATCCAAAGGAAGTTATATTGAAGCTAGGAGGACTGCAGATGAATGGTAGGTGAAGCTGTGAAAATGAATGACATTACTGAGCCTTTGGAGAATAAGTCAGTGCTTCCTTTTGGAAGAATGAAACTGCAAAAAGAAGTTAAAATCAAAACAGTGTCAGTTCCCAAAGCAGATGGCATTATAAGAAAGAAGTGGCCAATGATGATTAGGAGGAAAAGTAAAATGGAAATTGAAAACATATCCACTGGGTTTAGTTTCAGAAGGGGATCATCAGTGATCCTTGCAAGAATTGTATTTTCTTAATCCATGGCCCTCGTACTTCTTCACCCAAAAATTCTTCTTTGATACCTCATCATACTAAAAGTCTATAGTCTTATCACTTGATATTTAACTTTCTTTATGATTTAATTGAAATAATTTAAAAACCTTGTATCACCCGGTTTTTGAATACCTGAAGCACCAGTGAAATAGACTGACTCATCATTCTTTAAATGGTTGTCTTCCTATTGTCTTTGTTCTTCATGCTGTTTTCTTCCCCAGTACTAAGATCTCACTGACCTTTAAGGCTCAGGCCAAACTGCACCCAGTTGGTGTGACTGAACACTGCCCTCTCAGTGGGCTCTTCAGTCTGAACTTCTGAGTATTTTCTTTTCACCTTCCAGATGATACATACCACAAATGATCTTATATTTTACTTGCTTTGTACTTGAGTCTTCCTCTAAGCTCCTTAATATCAGAGGCTTATTTGACTATCATTATAGCTTTTAATACATCTAATATTTCCTGAATGAATCAGTGAATGAATGAATAAATAAAATTTTAGAAATGCACTTAATGGAAAATAACCTGTGTCAGTCACTTCATGACTGTGGTGAGTATGTGAAGATACCATTTGAAGTTCATTTAATCCTTTAATAACTATATGCATTACTACTCATTTCACAGATGTGAAGTGACATATTTTTAAAACACATCTTTGAGCTAGGGTTTATTGGTTTAAGGGTTAGGATCGAAATTATATGTGTTCATGTATATCCTATGTACATGTATAAATAAAAAAATTTAAATTGAAGTAAACTGATTTAAAAGTAAAAATTGTTGAAATTTGCCATTAATTTGGTGGAAAATAAATAGCTTTAGAA